GTTGGGAAATCATGCCTCCTCCACCAGTTTACAGAGAAGAAATGTGAGTAGCCAGACCCATTTTTTGTTAGTGTATTTACTATAATCTTATTTTGTTGTTCTTGAATGTGGCTGTTGCCATTGTTATTTGTTCTTTATTTATCAATGTTTTATTAATTAAGATCAACTTTATTCAAGATGAAAATTGATATATTTAGAAGTCAGTACAGTTCTTATAGTTAGATTATAATGTCACAGTTTTGAAATCAGAAGATTAATTTGTAATTGGTGTTCTGAATGGCCAGACTAATATGATTACAGATATTCTTGTATATGTGTCATCCCTTGGAAAGGATCATGATGCAGCTATTCAAGAGATTTCAATTAACAATAGTCCTGTCCTTTTTAGCTAGATGTTGAAATGTGATATAGCTCTGTAAGAGTTTATAAAAAAGTGACCCAAGATAGTTCCATAATCATGGGGGTGTAGATCTTGTTTATATTAAAAAGTGAGGCAGAATCTTGTGTGGGTTCTGGTTTGTAATGAACTAGAGAGAGATTACTGACAATGATATGCAATAATCTTTGAAAAGATTATAAGTTACCAGCTAGAGATAATTGCATTGGAAATTTATTGCTTACATAGATCTGAAAATTGTAAAAGAGTAAATAAAATTTTTTGTTGAGTATTATCCTAAAGCATAAAGATTAGATTTTATGCATATTAGTATGAAATCTGGGTGTAGCTCTTTATTCAAATGAGTGTCATGGGTCTCGTTCACAAATTTTCATTCTGATATTTTTATCAACTAGAATTTTGATTACTAAAGAAGTGGTTCTCAAACTAATTACCATGGCACCCTGAGGTGCTATAGGTAGTACCTAGGTTGCTGCAAGATTCCAAAATGAAATAAAATCTACCTAAGCAGTAAGTTTTGAGCAACTGTAACCCATGGAGCAGGCAAAGACACACTCTGCTGTTCAGGTAGATTTATGTGGGTTAGGGTAGTGGTTAGAGAAAGGGTGCTCAGTGCCATCACTGAGTAAAGTTTGATAACCATGGCTGATATCAGTATCAGCAAATACTGGACCAGCATTTTGGTAGTAGTAAGATAATAATTTACAAAATGCTACTTTCATCATTTTTAAAATGAGATTACTATACTGAAGGAGTCTGGATTATGAAGGCCCTCATTTAACCTAATGCCAACAGGCATGGCATGCCCACTGTGAGTTTAGTTTATTAATTGTTTTTACACATAGATGACTACACTTGTACTAAGTCACCAATAAGCCAATTATGAGTACTGCATGTTTCGCCCATTTACCCTTTTCCTTGATTTATAAAAATATTTTATGTTATCATATTTTGCTGATGTTTATAATAAAGAAAGCACCATTGATTTTCATAGCACTAGTAAAAAATACATTTTTCCCGCCAATTCAAGAAAAGGTGAAGTTAGGTAAGCTCACAAGCTAATTGACTCCTTTGTGGCTAAGCACTAGCAGTGCCATCTATGTGCAGAGACATTTCACAAAAATATAAAAAATGGGCATAGCATTTTCCCCATTTTTTATTTATTTGCCCCAGTGGCATGTGGTTAACCCAACCTCCCCAGATTTATGTCCTGTCCTCTGTATTTTTTTGTGAATGTTGTTACATAGATGGCTTTACGTGTGCTCAGCCGGCAAGAAGTCTATCAGTAGCCCCAGTGACCGATCCTGATTTCCCCATTCCTTGAATTGGCGGGAATATGTATTCTTTTAAATACAGTTGACATCGATACTGTTATTATTGTTACTGATGTTATGATTGTTACAGTGTTATAATCTTGATAACATTTAAGACAGTGAAATAATGCAAAAGGCCCTTTCCAAAAGTCGAGGAAAAGGGTAAACATGTCAGATGTGTAAGACTAATAACCAACTCCTTAGTGACTAAACACTTGTTAAGCCATCTATTTGTAAATACAATAAATAAACTTGTATTACATGGGGCATGGCATGTATTCTTGCCATACGTGGCAATTGAGTAAATTAGATGGGTGCCCATTAAACTCAACCCATTGATGTTTTTTTTTTTTGGGGGGGGGGGAATCTTATTGCTATTAGTATTGAGGATAACATTATAATGATCCCAGTATTAGTAATGACTATAACAGCAATGATATCAATAGCATAAGAAGAAATATAATTTTCCCAAAAATTCAAGGAATGGGTATATCAGGTAAGGTTGGTGACTATGCACTTGTGGAGATCTATATGTAAACAAAAATCACAAAACAAAACTACAGTGGACAATTCAGTTACTTGGCACCAATGGGTGAACAGTTACCAGATATGAATCCATAGACCCATATCAGAGCATTAGATAAGCTGATTAATGCAGAAATTTTGGCTGATACCCAGCCATTTGATAGAAGGTACTGTAGTTTACAGGCTTGCAGCATATCCATTTGTATGTATTTATTATGGTAAATGGATATACTTATATCTTGGAGGAACTTTAAGATTAAGAAAATAATGTAATGAACTAATGTGTAGAGTGGCTAATAGGGAGGAAATATATGACAATGTTTTTCTTGGTTTTGTAGGTTATAATGAATACTAATATGCTTCTTTTCCACAGTTATGGCAGATTGTCCACACACAATAGGTGTCGAGTTTGGTACCCGAATTATTGAGGTTGCAGGCCAGAAGATTAAGTTACAGATTTGGGATACTGCTGGGCAGGAGCGGTTTAGAGCTGTCACCAGGTATGGACATAGATGGGAAGGAAACAAAATGTGTAAACATGAAGGAGTATATATTTATGCATATATAGAAATTTTATTTTACTGATAATCAGTTATTTGAGAATATATATATTCATTATAATCAGACCTGTTATTGGATTATTATTTTCATATAAAAAGCTTTAATATTTTCAGTATTTTGATGAAAGAAGGAAAATATAGTACATGAGATTTTTTTTATTAGAAATAGATGATACTCTACCTTCATTAGTCTTGGTTATACATCAGAAGGGTTGATGAAGGACAAAAGTAAAGAGAGGAAGGAGGAAAGGTGAAGGAGGGACGGAGGAAGAGGAAGAGGAAGAATTATAACACTGCTGCTTGTTTCTGTCACTATAATCCACGAACATCTATGCTTTTTATGAATAGTTCAGCTGTATCTCTTCTTGTTGAAAATTATTATCAGTGATGTCGATCAACATCATATTACTTTATGGAATCTTATACAAGTATTTACTCCTTCCAAGGTCTTACTATCGAGGTGCCGCTGGAGCCTTGATGGTGTATGACATCACTAGGCGGTCCACCTATAATCATCTTAGTTCATGGCTGACAGATGCTCGCAACCTCACCAACCCGAACACTGTCATATTCCTCATCGGTAATAAAGCTGATTTAGATGCGCAGGTTAGTAAGAAGGGTACCTTATTTATTTGTTTGTTATTATTTTTTTCAAATATTTCTGTTTATATATATATTTTTTTTTTCAGGAAGGTACTAGATTTGGAAAAATTGAAAATGAATCAAAATATTGTATTAGTAATGGTAATGATAAGATGAAAGTTAACCTGAGCAACCAAAATATGTGAATTAGGCTTATGTGAGCAGACACACTGTCGGGTGTGCAGCTTGTAGGCTGAACACTCATGTGCAGGGATAAGACTCCAATGCCTCCCCTTTGCAATGTTATTTGCTCTTTTTATACATAACTGTTTTCAGCTTTTTTGCCATTTTCCACTGTCTGTATTTGTCATTTGATTTGCTCTATGGAGATGATAGTAGACTGTTTTCCCTGCACAGACTCTGTTTCATTTCTCTGGGTAGTCCATAACTCAGTTCAATAACAATAATATTTTGTAATTTGTGTCATATTAAGATTTTTCTGCAATATTCAGTTCTCTGTAATACAACCTGTGCTGTTGGTTATAGCGGGTAGGATCCTGAACAGTATCCTCCCTGAAGGCTCGCTCGCTCGCTCTCTCTCGCTCTCTCTCGCTCTCTCTCGCTCTCTCTCGCTCTCTCTCGCTCTCTCTCGCTCTCTCTCGCTCTCTCTCGCTCTCTCTCGCTCTCTCTCGCTCTCTCTCGCTCTCTCTCTCGCTCTCTCTCTCGCTCTCTCTCTCGCTCTCTCTCTCGCTCTCTCTCTCGCTCTCTCTCTCTCTCTCTCTCTCTCGCTCTCTCTCTCTCTCTCTCTCTCTCTCGCTCTCTCTCTCTCTCTCTCTCTCTCTCGCTCTCTCTCTCTCTCTCTCTCTCTCTCTCTCTCTCTCTCTCTCTCTCTCTCTCTCTCTCTCTCTCTCTCTCTCTCCCTCTCTCTCTCTCTCTTTTTTTTTTTTTTTTTTTTTTTCAATGGAAATAATGCAAAATCCCCTTCCTAAATGGCAAATGAGTCTATTTTCCATGATGACATGTTCATGTCACCTGCCTGTATATTTTTTCATAATTGTAGAGGATTATAAACTATATTACAGTTGTTTGGGTTTTGGAGGATATTGCTCTAAACCAACCCAGCAGCTAGTGCACTGATTGGATCCTACAATGCAAACTCTAGCTTACTGCTTACCGATATCATTTTATCCTAGGGTTTAGAAATTATATCCAAAAGAGTTTTGTCACTTACAATAGAATGCTAATCTTATGAGCAGAAAAGTATTTAATCTTTAGTATGTAATTAATCCCAACAAATTATTATTTATCCAGTCTGTTTATGCCTCTTTAACTGAAAATACAGTGGGCACCAAAAATACTTGGACCTTAGTAAAAAGAAAGAAAGAAAGAAAGAAAAAAAACACCAGGCAGACAATAAAATTGAATAAACAGTAAAAAAAAATATATTTTCAATTAACAATCACCTTATTACCATTTCATCTCTCCTTTGGAATTTAAGCATATCCTGCATCCGTTGTGGCATTCTCTCAAACAGGCTCCTGAAGTAATATAAAGTGTGATGACCTCTTGCAGCTGTGGTACTGATAACAACTGTGCATTCTTCACCTTATCTATCAGGACCTTCTAGGCATTCTCAATCATATAAATTCAGATTTCCATGACCACTTCATGAGGAAGTCTTTTATCTTTTTAGAGGTGTGGCAAGGGGTCAATTTGTTATGATAGCTATAGGCGTGTCCCGGCAGATACGGGTTAAACATGATGGCACTATGAAGGGCATAAAAGTGGATCATATGTTCCTTCAGAACTTTGATGTAGCTATTCCCATTCTTTGTCATATTCTTAGGCAAGAAGTAGAATCCACTCATCCCCACATTCTAAATGGAACAACCCTAAATCATTATAGAAGCACTGGGCTTCACTGTTTTAACTGTGTACTTGGGGTTGTACATATGAGGGGGTGCCTTACACAGTCAGTAGGATGTCATAACTTAGAAACTGTTCTCATTGGACCAGAGGATCCACTACCTGTCTGCCACTGATCTGCCTTTGCTTTCTTTTGCAAAAGTAAGCTGCTTACTCTGCAAAGAGAAGAAGAAAAAAAAAATAATGGGCAGAAGCATTGACTTTATCATAACATGCATAGACAGGCACTGATGTGCAATGCAGCGTCTGCTAATTACTTAGTGTGGGTTCTAGAGATGCCAGATTCTGCTATGATGCCATATCGGCTAAGATGACTGCTTGTTTGCCTCCCTAAAAGAAGATAGGTCCCAGTATTTTCATTATAGCCATCATAACAAACCGCGTGATCTGCGGGATATGGCTATATGTGTGGTGATGCGCTAGAGCACGTCGAGCAGGAAGTTCTCCTACATGTAGTGGATACCTGTGCTGAGCAACTGGAGGTTGCCAGTAATCACCAGAGTCTATGATGCCAAGAGGTTTCTAAAACCCATCACTGAGGGGTTAAATATTTTTCCAAGCTTAGTTATTCTAATCTTTCAAAGACGAGAGTGTGGTGTGACACCCCAAAAAGCCGAAAATTTGGCTCACTCACTCACTCGGAGGTAGCAAGGAGGTATCAAGAATAGAAATGTGCTTTCTTCTGCTTTTATACATTTGGAGATTCTGTGCAAGTCAAGTGACTGGATGTGCACTTGCAATACACTCCTGATTTGCAATGCACTAACTACCTGGTAGTAAGGTGGTTGCTATGCAGTGGCATGTTACCTTGTGAGTGCCTAAACTAGAGAGCAAATTGTTACACAGTGGCTAATATGCAACCTCTAGTCTTCTTTGGTCACATCTCACTCACTAAATGGGTTCAGTGGAAAAGCAAACCAAGCAAGCCATTGAGTGACTCATGAGAGTTGTGGGAGTAACTGAAATCACTCACTCTCTTGACTCGAGTCACTAGCCGTTCTCTTGACATTGGAAACCTACCTTTAGAAAAGTTTGAAAGCCAGTAAAATACAAAATAGTCTTTGCAAAAGAGTATTGCAGAAAAATGTATCTAAATACACAAATGAAGTGTGTGAAAAATTTGAAGTAGTTTGATCTTCCATTAGATTTTCATTTAACCCTTTAAACTTATAGAACAAAAAGATTATTTCATTGTTATTTGTCAAATCTATACTGCACAGTGGAGTGTTAAAGCTAAAGAAAGTTATTATAGGTAGAAATAGGAATGTATTACAAAAAAGGAAACCTGTCAGACAATACCTGATTTTCATTTTCATTTATTGTGCACAACATATGTTTGATCCATAGTGGAAAGAAATATAGGAGAACAGCTTTTGACAGTTTGTTCATGATTATCCATTCCAAGCTCCCTTTATTTAGTCGTTACATATACTATGATTCCCCCCCCCCCCTTTTTTTTTCTTCTTCTTTTTTTTTCATTTCTTTTTCTTTTATTTTCATTATATTTTTTCATATAATTCTTTATGCTATTACAGAGAGATGTAACCTATGAAGAAGCAAAGCAGTTTGCTGAAGAAAATGGACTAATGTTTGTGGAAGCGAGTGCAAAAACGTGAGTTTTTATTAGCTTTTTTATGTATTGCTTTGACTTGAAAAACAGGATAAGAATTTATAAAATTAAATGGAAAGAGGAAAGTAGGTCATGAAAATTGGAAGGGAGTTTACCTTGTTAAAGTTAGTGATTAAAAATAGAATTAGAGTCACAATTTTATTGATAGATATGGTAAGGATAGTGATACTTAGTGAGAAAAAGAGAGAGAATGAGAATGTGAATGTGTGTGTCATGTTTATGTATTTCATTGTGTGTACTTGCGCATCATCTACACCTACAAGTACAAACACCTGTCAGTATGTATGTTTATAGCTTCTAAGAATATAATAATGACTCCTACTTTCAGTTATCAGTTTTTTAATTCCACTAATTTGCTTTCAGTGGAGAGAATGTGGAGGAAGCCTTTTTGGAGACTGCAAAGAAGATTTACCAAAATATACAGGATGGCAGGTGAGTTTCTTTCCTGTTGTAACATAATATAAGAACTGGAAAAAAATATTGAATTATTAAATGTGATTCAGTCCATAATAGCAAACAAGATGAATTGGCTGCCATTAATGTTGCATTTGTAGTATCAGAAGTACCAGTGGTGTCAGGTGGATTTACTGAACCATTTTCTTTCAGTTTGGACTTGAATGCAGCAGAATCAGGTGTTCAGCATAAGCCAACACAGCCAGGTAGAACTAACCTGAACAGTGATTCACAGCCCAATCGTGATAACTGTTCCTGCTAAACTTCGCCCTCCATAAAAAAATCATGGTGCGGTTTGCTTGAAGGAGGTGACAGACAGATTAGAAAACTGTATGTCCTGCCTCTTTGTTTTGTAAGATGTAAATGGGAATTTTGTCTTTTCTACAAGAAGTAAGGAAGGCTTCTACTCTGTTTTCATAATGATGTGAGGCAGTGGGAGGTACTTCATATGAAAGATTCAACAGCATAGAATACCTAACCCAAATTTATGATTGGCTCAAAATCGCAGCGTAAAAGTTCACTTTCAATTTTACTCTAAAGGCAGATAAAGTCAGTGAGTGTCAAGAGCTCAAGTAATTCTTAAGACAGCTAGATTACTTCTTGCACATTTCAGTAGAGCAAAGTTGCTTGTGCTCTTGATGGAAAGAACTACATTGTGATAATAGAATCTGCCAGTGATTACTCAGAAAAATAATTGATAATCCTAAACCCTCCCTCATAATAGAATATGAATGTTTTGAAGAATGGAAATTTTGTGATTGGAACTTGAATGGAGCTTTTGTCATTGGAATTGCTCCCAATTTGTGATTTGGTTATCTTCATAGGAAGATTGACAGGTGTTTTTATCAGGATACCAGATTGTGGAAAATGTGATGTAGTAATATCTCATTAATTTTTAAGTACTGTCCGTGTATTCCAGTGATAGAAATTTATTGCTAGACAGATAATGATATATCAGAAAAAAAGACAGGTTTTATATACCAAATAAAGATACACTTCAGTCACCTTCATATCTTTCAGGCCTTCTGTGGAGAAATTATTAGTTTGTGCTGTATGTAGTACTTGGATAAGATCATCTATCATATCTTTAAGTGGAAAAAGTTTAATAAATATTTTAAGTACTATATATACCACAGTGTCACAGATTACACTAGTTTGCAATGTATCCTAAGTTGCTCACAGACAAGGCTGCTGATAAACGGAATAACTTTGTGTACAAGGGTTTACATTAGTGCTGCTTGCAAGATCATGGAAAGAAAACTTTACATTTGCATTTTTATGATAAAAAATCTTGGTTATTATTAGTCAATTATTAGCTTTTTACTAGTATTCTTTATTATAGTTATTGTAATTTATCATGCTAATAAGCAGTCCAGGTTACAGTTTATTTTTTATGTTTCATAAGTTTATTGTTAGTCTAAAAACAGAAGTAGGGTATAACAATATACATCATCCATATCATAGGTTCTATAATTAATGGTGATTAAAAAAAAAAACTTTTGGACTATTCAGGACTGATGTAGTTTCTTTATTAAGACCTGATGTGTGAGTTCACATTGCGAGTTTGCAATGACAGGCAACCTCATCGTTGTAAGAAAATCCATTTTATATGTACATTTACCAGTCCCTTTGTGGACATTGCTAACATTCAACTAACAGCTTGCAGTATCTAGAACACTTGAAGTGTGGTTTGTTGAAAGACACTTAGGTTATGCATGTTAATCAAGCTGCTGACATTGTGGAGATAATCTTGCCAATTGTAACAGACAAGTATGTCTGTTGTTTCCAGTATGATCAAGATTACTCAGGAAGGTTTGTGGACAAAAAAAGCTTAATTTGGGGAACATACATACATTACTTTGTTCATATAATTTTGCTTGTGTTTTTATATTTAACATTGCTGCAATTATTTGTTTATGTTCCCATGTTTTGAGTTCATTATTTTTTACAACTAAAATTACATCTACTCTGTTGTTGTTATTATCATTATTAATGTTATTATTATTATTATTATTATTATTATTATCATTATTATTATTATTATTATTATTATTATTATTATTATTATTACTACTATTATTATTTGTTATCATTGATTATTATTAATCATTATTATTATTATACTAGTAATTATCATCATAAATATTATTATCATTACCTATGATTATGATTAGTATTTTGTGTAGTTTTCTCTTACAGAATTTTATCCAATTTTCAATTTTTCTACAGGTTTGGATAATTAGCTTTATCCACTTCTACAATAGATTTGCATTTTATAGGTTTATTACTTCATAATGTAAAGCTATATTGACAGTCTATCAATTATACAGTTTCTTGAGAGCTAGTACTAACTTATTAAAAAATTTTCCTTTCTTTCTTTTTCTCTTTTTATCACAACATGCTGTGAGTAATGCATGTGTAAACCAGACTTTATAATATTTATTCAATATTATGACACCAAGTCCATTGTGGGACTAGTGATATAGGAACTTACTCGCAGAAGGTAAAGGATCCCCCTTGAAATTAGACGTTTGCAGTGATGAAGTGCGGACTAAATTAAGTTTTTATATATGTGCCCTAATATATTCAGTGGAAGCAAGATTTTTAAAAAAAGAATTACAGAGGAAAATAGAATAAAACATTTTCTTTCTGTCTTTTTCTAAATAGTTTATAAGTATTTTTATTATTATTATTATTATTTTTTTTTTTTTTTTTTTTTTTTTTTTTTTTTTTTTTTTTTTTTTTTCAATAATCATTGTTATATGACTATTTTGATATGTGATTTTAGTGGGAATTAAATCTTGTAATATCTCAGGCAGGTGTAGAAGTTGAATCTGTGGCAGAAAATATAAGGGATTTGAAATGGATGTATTGTATTTTTAGAGAATTAATTTATCATGGAATAAACAACTAGGGTTCAGCCAGGTTGTATTCAGTGGTGCGACCCTCATCTGCAACATTTAGATAATGCAGTTTAAAGAGAAGTCTTTCTAGGCCATAATGGATTTATTTGATAAATATAGCTTGAAAATGTTGATTTCACTCTTATTTGGATGCATGTAAAAAATAAAAACTTGAAAAATTATGTAAACACTAATATACTTGCAGATGATGAAATTTAAATGTAATTGGTCCTAATACATTAACAGGCACCTCAGCCAAGTAGCTGGTGTGTCATGGGAGTGGATTGTTTTTAGCATCTGTAGGCATATTGTAGTTATATGAAAGATTTGGGGTTTGTGTAAACCATAGAATCACCTTAGAATCCGAACTACTCAAATCATGTGACTGACTGCAGATATGGTGTAGTTTCTTCAGCATAGATATTTGATTACTTAGAAAGGAGACCATTAATGCCATTCTATCTGACAGACAGTAATATTTGGGAGTGTAAAATTGAGTGTTGGATTTCAGTCATAATAAGGGTGATTAGAAGAGCAAGACTAATGCATTGAAATCAATAATATATTGTGATAATCCCCATTTATTTATACTACTCAATTTTATTTTATGGAATATTTATTGTTGATTCAGTCGTAACTTCTGTTTGTTTCATTCCAAGAGGCTGCGTATAGCCAAATTCAAGTCAGTAAGTAGGCATGCTTTGCAGCGGGGCAAGGGTTCACGAATTAACCCAATATCAGGTTGGATAATATTGACCATACATAATGGAATGATGCTGAAATATTTAAAACCAGGATACCACAAGTATAAAATGGAATTTTCCTCTTACCCTCAGTGGTATACTGCATGAGTAAGGATATATTTCTTCACCAAAAATCTTTCACTTTCCATTATATGAAGCAGCAAACAAAAATAGAAACAAGGATGAAAATATTGTGATTGTGTTACTTTACCTCTTCATATGGGTAGAATGGGCAGAATTCTAATAAAGATACTTACTGCTGATTAGACCATGGAGTAAATGTGTTTTAATGAGAACTTAACAAGAAATCTAAAGCATCCCCAAAATAATACATAAATGCTTTGTATTTACTTTCTGTGATATGTTATCATTCAGTGTATTTGATCAATAAAGGCTGTAGTGTATTTGTGGAAAGTATTGGAAAGAGAGAGAATGAATGGGCATAAGTGAGTTTGAGTTCACGTTTGTTAGAGCGTTTGCTTAGGCGCGCTTGTGGGTGTATTGGTTGTGCTTGTATGTTGTAAGTTATGATCCTCATTGATTGCTATACATGGTTAATTGGGCCAAAGGATCAAACTCTCTGACCCCTTTTTCCAAATATCCACCACATTCACCCGAGTTTATTTAAAAAATTGAAATTAATAGAAACTGCTATGCTCTGACCAACTTGAAGAAGCATTAATTCTAGAGGAAATCAGTGTGATCTGGAAACATTGAAAATAAGTCACCTGCCCCACTGCACACTGCTTATTCTGACCTACCTAAGGAAGATGCCCCAGTACTATATACAGTGCTGCCATGTAAGAATATTATTCACTATGTATTTACTTGTATATATTCATAAAAGGTGTGTGTAATCACCAGTAGGGTATTTTAACACTGCGAGAGCTGATCATTATGTAGTTTTCCTTTGTAACAAACATCAGCCAGTTTGAGTTCATCACTAAACTTTTAGTCATTGTTTGAGATAAAGGTGAAAACTAACAAAAAATAAGGCAATTCATGGTTGAAAAATTAGTGTAAAAATCTATATATATATGTATATTATCTGAGGCACACCAAGCTCAAAAAATGACTAAGAATTCATTTATTAGTTGCATCTAAATGAAACGGGAAAGATAAAACATTCTTAACATTTTTAGCCCAAAAATAGAAATAAGATCAGACTACACATTTGGCTCCCTCTCCCCACATCCCTGCTTGCAGTGCAAGAATCAATCTTGTATCCTATTATCATATCCAAGTGACGCGTGAGGTTCATGCTACACCAGCTGAAAGGTTCCCAGTTTTGAAACCATGTGAAATCTGCCCCAGCCTACGAACACGAGTCATCTGGATGGAAAGGGTTGAGATTGCTTTGTGGTCATGTAGGGGTTTTAGTAAGCATACCACTCAGCCTGGAAGTGTATTTGAAAATGTTATAAGCTTGTGTTGCTGTCTATATTGTAAGATTTGTGTACAAATACTA